TATGTATAAGCTGGAGAGTTTCTATGAGAATTATGAAACTGACTGAAAGAAAAGGACCGGCCAACCAGATATTAATTATTGTGTACATGGGAAATAGATGAGCATGCAAGCAATTTGCTAAGAGTACAGGGGTGTGGACTCTTTGATCTCTGCTTCCCTCAGGGGACTGAGGCTCGGGAAGGAATCCATTTTTGTTTTTTTAAACCAACAAGATGCGCAGACATGAAGAAACACTGGTTTGAACCTAGCCTAGGCCAAAAAAACCATCGAAGGCACCAAGACTACTTCATATTTTGCTACGTTCTTGGTAATTCTGGAACCTCAAAGTTCTTGGTAATTCTAGAACCTTCTTGGTAATTCTGGAACCTCAAAGTTAGTAACCATTGTTTTTTCCCTGTGGCTAGTCAATCAAAATTCCATTTTGGAAAGCTATAATCCCCATGGAAAAGGATTGTAAAGAATTCCAGGAGAGGCCTTGCCCAGACTGGGGAAGCTTATCGTAGATTGATCCACGTTCTGAATTTCCTAACCAAAGGCCAAGAACTACAGGGCAACACAATTTTGGAAAGACCTCAGAGGTCATCTAGCCCAGACCTTATACCGTTCCAAACAAACGCCTGTCCAATCTCTTCTGGAAAACTTCCAGTGATGGAGCACCCACAACTTCTGAAGGCAAGCTGTTCCACTAATTGTTCTTATTGACCCTCTGTTTTCCTTCTGTCGCATCCCAAAGCATGCATAGCCATAAGTGTTTTTGAGCACTGATGCTTTGTTTGCGCAGATGTTCCGCCGAGTGGCAATGAGACATACTCCTGGAATTAACTGAAGGGATGAATTTCAAGTCAACATTAGAGAAAGGACAAGAAAAATACGCTTACGTTGACAATCCTGTTTGAATTGGGAGGGGCGGGCTAGGGAGCGGAGACAGAGCTTTTGAACCTTCCTAAACAATGGGTGTAAACGTCAGGATTACATCTGGTTTCTGACGTCTCCCGTCTGCCTCTCTCGCAAGCCAAACAGTGATCTAGTTTGAATGTACCTTTTTTACAATTCAAGTGGAGCCTTCATCTAGTAGTAGAAATCCATTAATTAAATTAAATCAATTAAAAAGCGCCCATTACGTTTTGTTTTTCAAGTAATGTCTCCGTGTTAGTTCAGCCCAGACATGGATTCGTTCCATAAAGCCACGGGCACATTGCAAAATAAAAAGAAAAACAAAAAAATTAAAAATTAAAAAAAACCCTCTTCCATCAAATTCAGCTTCACCCAAAGAAATGGGATGGCACCTATATGGGCAAACCTCCCCTCTGATCCCAGGTTAAAAATGTCCTTGGCCATCAAAAGTTTGCCCATAGCAAAATTTGCCCAGTTTGGCAAAGAATCCAAATTGCAAATAAGCAATTTTTTTTTTTAAAAAAAAGGAGCTCTCTTCTTAACATTTGTCTGAAATAGAATAGAATAGAGCTGGAAGGGATCTTGGAGGTCTTCTAGTCCAGCCCCTTGCTCAAGCAGGGGAATGTTATAGGGTTTCCTGCCTGGGCAGGGGGTTGGACTAGAAGACCTCCAAGGTCCCTTCCAGCCCAACGACGCTATGATTCTAATGTGAACCAAAAAATATGTTAGGCGGATAAATAATATCCCAACTATTGCTGGAAAATCACTGGGCTAACTGGATTAATACAGGGTGGAAAGAAACAGAAAACTCCAGAATGTTATTATTTGCATGACCTGATTTAATCCTTGCTAAGAGCCACCAGGCTAGAAGCTGGGAATATGGAGTTCTAGTCCCAGCTTAGGCACCAGCCCACCTCGGGCCGGTCACTTTTTCTCAGCCCTCGGAAGGAGGCAATGGCAAGCCACTTCTGAAATCTTGCCAAGAAAACTGCAGGGACTGGTCCAGGTTGACACCTGAAGTCAACTTTGGCTTAAATTGGACGCAAAAATATTATTGTTTATCGTGACCCTCCCTAATAAAATCAGTAGTGGATCATCTGTTCATCCTTTTCTTCCCGTACGTGTTCCTTTTTAATTGCACGATATAAAGCCAGCCAGCTTTTTAATATTCTCTTCCTCAATACAGAGGGAGCAAAATTCAGCTCGGACTATCCCTGGCCTTCCAAAGGTCAATTAAACAAGACGTTTTATAGCTCCTTCCATCTTTGCTTCTCGGTAATAACAGGGCAGCGTACTACACAATCAACACACATCACCATGATCTCTGTGTTCCTTTGAAAACAGGAACATGGATGTCCTAGTTTTGGTCAAGGAAGGGTTGGAATGCTTCTTCTAGGTTTCTATGATAGGTGGAAGGCCAGATTTGAGGAACCAAGACCTTCCTCTTGTGTGTGTGTGTGTGTGTGTGTGTGTGTGTGTGTGTGTGTTAGCATTTTATTATTTTATTATTTTTCTTTTCGTTATTTTTATTTCTTCGATACGGTGTTTTTATACCTGGGGAAGCCGCCTTGAGTTGCTATGTGTGAGTAGGCAGCAGTAGAAATTTTCTAAAATAAATAAAATGAAATAATAAAATGATAAAGAATAAAATACAATAAAATAATAACATAAAATAACAACATAAAATAAAATAATAAAATATCAAATGAAATATTAAAAAATGAAATGAAATGAATTGAAATGAAATGAAATGAAAATAATAAAATGAAATAATAAAAGAATAAAGAATAAAATACAATAAAATAATAAGATAAAATAATAAGATAAAATAAAGTAATAAAATATAAAATAAAATATTAAAAAATAAAAAAATGAAATGAAATGAAATGAAATAAATGAAATGGATTGAAATGAAATAAAAATATATAAAATAAAATAATAAAATAAAAAATAAAATAAAATAAAATAAAATAAAATAAAATAAAATAATAAAATAATAAAATAATAAAATAAAATAAAATAAAATAAAATAAAATAATAAAATAAAATAAAATAAAATAAAATAAAATAATAAAATAAAATAAAATAAAACAAAATAAAAAATAGGATCATTTTTCACACTTAACAACTGTTGCAGCCTCTCCGCAGTCACGTGATCAAAATTCAGACGCATGGCAGCTGGCTCGTAGTTATGACGGTCGCAGGAAGGCTGGATTCACTTAACAACCGGGCTACTAAATTAACAGTTGCAATGATTCACTTAACAACTTGTCTCACTTAGCAACATAGTGTTGGGGCTCAACTGTAGTTGCAAGTCGAGGATTACTTGCATGATGTCCTTTCCCTCCAAATGACAAAACTGACGTAGAGCAGAGCTGCGTGTTTCAATGCTGTATATACATACCTGTTGAATCTGCTTCGGGTTTTTTGGGTTTTTTTTCAGTTCATCCCAGGTCAACCAGGTGCCGTCCTTGAAACCTGGAGATGGCAAAGATATTTTTCTTCTCCTCCTCTTTGTGGCTTTGGAAAGGCCCACCGCATTGAACTGTCGAAATCCAAAACGCCAGGCAATTTTATAGGAATTTAGGCTTCTGCGTTGCTCCGCATCTCAGGTTGCATCCAAAGTACATTTAAATTGCTCCACAATTATCTGCCTGGCACAACCGCACTCACACCTGCTGCTTCAAGGGGAGCAGCCGAAAAAGCTGGTTCTGCTCGTTCCTCTTTCTCACCATTGGCACTCGATGGGTGCCAGCCTGTAGAGAGGCCACGCAACTTCCCGCTGGCCACAAAGCCAGAAGAAAGGCAGTTTGTTTCAAAATCATTCCACCATGAGCTGGTTTGGAGGGGGTGCCGTTACCCGATGTGGGGATGGAAGCCCCCCGGAATTCCGGACTTAACGTAGTCATTGCTGAAGGTGAGGGAGGGGGAGACTTAAAATATGGAGAGGTAGGAGACGGAATTGCACTTAAATTGCAAAAAAAAATTGAATCGAAGGTAGCCCCCGTCTTATGACAACTGAGCCCCAATTTCCGTTGCTAAGCCAGACGGCGGTTAAGTGAGTTAGGTTTTACCTTTCTCGCCACAATTGCTAAGCGAATCATCGCAGTTGTGAAATGGGCAACCTGGTCGTTAAATGAATCTGGCTTCCCCGTTGACTTTGCTTGTTAGAAGGTGGTCAAAGGGGAATCACGTGACCTTCCAGTGCTTTGGAGAAGAGGTTGACTCCCCTCTTCTTTGTGGCAGCCCCTGAGATACTGGAACACTGCTATCATGTCCCCCCTCGGTCCTTCTCTTCATTAAACCAGACACACCCAATTCCAGCAACCCCGCTCTTTATATGTTTTATCCTCCAGTCCTCTGATCATCTTTGTTGCTCTTTGAGATCTTAAAACAAAACCAGGAAGTAAAGAAGTAGGAAAACACTAAACGGATGCAGTTTATAGTCCTAAGGCTTGAAGGCAAGGTCTAAATGCTGAGTCACAGAGGTTCTTCCTCCTTCTGCCAATCCATCTTTGAGGACACAGGACCTTGCCCTAGGCCTGAGGCACAACAGGCCATTGCTGATCTTGGCCGTGGGATGAGACAGAAAAGTTCCTTTGGCCTGGTCCTCAAAGGCAGGCGGGAGTCCCCGCTATTCGTTAGGGTGCGTGCACCTCCTTGCCAAAGTAAACTCAATTCTCCATGGGGTGAAAGAGCCTTTAAGCAGCCAGTGAAGACCAAGACCAAGCTGAAGAATAAGAGAGTCGAAAGGAACCTTGGAGATCTTCTAGTCCAGGGGTAGGCAACTTCGGCTCTTTTATGACTCATGGACTTCAACTCCCAGAAGCTGGCTCAGGAATTCTGGGAGTTGAAGTCCATGAGTCATAAAAGAGCCGAGGTTGCCCACCCCTGTTCTAGTCCAACCCCCTGCTCAAGCAGCAGACCCGATACCATTTCAGACAAGTGGCTGTCCAGCTCCTTGCTTCTGCAAGGGGCTGGAACAAACAAAGTTAAGCTCTAACTCCCCCCCACCCCAGCTGCAAAGCCAGGCCTGTTCATTCCCCAAGCCCCATATCCCTCCCCCCTCCCCTCCCCTTCTGGGGTGCAAGGTTGCCGTCCCTTACCAACAATATTCGACAGCCAAGGAGCTCCTAGGAAAGATGACGAGGGTTTTCAAGCAGTTCTTCGGAAGGGCAGTTTAAGCACCGACTCAGACAGGCAGCGTAGAGAAAGGGATTTGAAAAGAACAACTCGTATTTGCAGCAGCTTCTCTGGGCAGGCAGTCACTGCCAGTAACGTTCTCTGCGGACAAGGGTGGAGCCAGGCACCCGGCCAGCTTACTGCCTTGAGGACTTGGCTTCCTTGCGACTGAAAATGGCCTGGCTACAAGCCAGTTCTGGATAGGCTAAGTCTGCGGTTCCTCCACAGCTGATGAGTCTGAGAGATCTCACTCAGCCCACAACCTGCTTCCTTTGCAGGGGCAGCTGATAGCAATAGACTCCAGAAGAAGGGAAAAAGAGAGAGAGAAAAGAGCAAAATTGAGGGGCGTCCATCTTGCCTGTCTGCCTACCTCTCTTCTCAGTTAATGCAAGGCTGTTTTCCTCCAGAGCTGTGTCTCTAAAGGAGAATATTCGGAGCTCAGGGTTGAAATGAAGGGCCCTGGATGCTTCTCTTGAGTTTGGTTGCGTTCTCGCAGATGTTTCATTACCTAACTAGGCAACATCATCAGTGTTAGAAGGGAGTGGGGTTTGCAGAATGGAGGAGGAGGAGAAGAAAGGGGGAGGAGAAGGAAGAGGACTGTAGGGCCCTGGGTGCTCTCTTGAGTTTGGTTGCGTTCTTGCAGATGTTTCGTTACCCAACTAGGGTAATGTTCAGCTGCCAAGAACTGTATACCACCCCGAATAACCTGTTGAGATGGGTGACTATAGAAATCAAATAAGTAAATCAAATAATAAATGTCCACTATTGCTATGGCTTATATGTCTTCAGAGATTTCCTTCCTTCCTTCCTTCCTTCCTTCCTTCCTTCCTTCCTTCCTTCTTATCCACCAAATTTGTTGTTCTTTTATCTTATTTCTGAGTAGACCTCTGTAAGCTTCCATGGAACATATAACTATTAATTATTCGGAATTATGTTTATTGCATTTAATCAGAGCGCTACCCCTTGCCGAATATAATAACACATTTCAGATGGGGACACTTGCTTCCCAGTCTGCTTTCCGCAGACCATTTTATTCATTTCAAATTAATCAGGTACGCTCACCACCAAGATCTACCTGGACCCATCTAGGATTAAGCCGTAATAAATTTGTTCCTCTCCAATTTTACTTTGCAGCTTAAATGGCTTATTGGAATGCAAATTCTTCTCCTGCCTTCAGATCTCAAAGGTGCCTTAAATCTTTTTCTTTCTTTTTTTAAAAAAAAGACAATTCTGCTTTTTGAAATGCATGGAAGTATACCGAGTCCCAGCTAATATCTTTTGCACTGGCCTCAATTTCTCCAAAAATCCATTTCATTAGAAACCTTTAAAAAATAAAGATCCGCTTGAGCAGAATTGGAGTCCTATGGATTACACGAATGACCTCCTCTGATTCTTCGATAGGGTTTGCCAATTCTTGAAGATGTTTTTCAATCTTGCAGGGTGACCTCTGACCCTGGGACTTTCTGATGACTCTCATGCAAGGAAAAAAAAAAACAAATTTGACAACGTTTGGTTTTTCTGAAATCAGCCGAGGTCAGCCAAGTTCTGTCACCAAGAACTTTTAAAAGACCTAAAATAAAGCTAGTGAAAGTGAGACTGCTTCTACTTTGTCTTATCTCCCAGGAACCTATTTTTGAGGATCCTTCAAGTCAACGTGGACTCCAAGTGACATCCTGCGCCAGTCCCTGTAGTTTTCTTGGCAAAGCGTTCTGGAAGTGGCTTGCCATTGCCTCTTTCCCAGGGCTGGGAGAAAATGACTGGCCCAAGGTCCTCCAGCTGGCTTTGTGCTTATGGTAGGACTAGAACTCACCGTCTCCTGGTTTCTAGTTGGACGCCCAAATGCTACACTAAACAAGCCTTAAAATAAGTGGATGGAAAAGGTATTTATATAAAAAACCCTCCCTTTTATGACCCTGTATCTAGGGCAGTGGCCCCCAACCTTTTGGGCACCAAGGACTGGTTTTGTGGCAAGAGGGTTTTCCGTGGACTGGAAGGGGTGTGGTTTTATGCGGATGGGGCTTCCCTTGTTTGCGCAGACCGGTTTCTGGCATGTCACGGACCGGTGCTGATCCACAGACCAGGGGTTGGGGACCCCTGATCTAGGATAAAATTCTATACTTCTTTGGGGATCAGGGCAAGAGAGATAGAGAACTCATTGTCATAGGACAGACAATGGGGATGCAATAGTGCAGTAGCTGGAACTGCCAGCCAGAAATGATTTGCATTCCGTCGGTTCGAGTCCAGTTCAATGAGACGGAGTGAGCTCCCGTCGCTCGTTCCCTAGCTCCTCTCCACCCAGCAGTTGGAAAGCAGGCAATATTGCGAGTAGATAAACGGGTACCACTTCGGTGGGAAGAAAACCTAACTGTGTTCGTGTGTGTGGAGAGCGGAAGCCAGCGCTGGATCTGGCCAGACCCGAGACATTGCGACATGAAGCAAGGTGAGGCAAGACTGACAGAGGAGCCCAGAAGAACCAGCAAACTGAGTGCCGCTAGTGTGTGTGTGTGTGCAGTGTACCAAGGATAGGCACGCAAGCGCTGAACAGAACGAACTAGCAATCTAAGCTATCAGGATTGCATTGTGTGTCTTGCATGTGTAGATTTCCCTGTCGTTGTACATGATATGCTAAAATAAGACAAAAAAAATAAACACAGAATAGAAAGAGCATTGATGCCTTAGAATTTCGTCGTTGGATAAGACTCTTGAGAAGTCCGCGGACAGCCAAGAAAGCAAACCACTCGTTTATCAAACAAACACAACCCAGAATTCTCATAAATGACCGGGCTCAAATTATTCCAGGTTGGACAGATTACACAAAGACCCAAGCAACATGTGCATTTTCGGGAGCAGAACCCACATCACGGCAATGAAACACTGTAGGTGTGTGGTGGTGGTTTTTTTTGTCCCCTTTTTTGGTTTTTTTATTGGTTCCTTTGCATGTGTTTGTTACATGAACTCCTGTGGGAAGATCAAAGAATACAGAGAGATCCAAGGTAGCATTTAAAATCGGAAGGTTGGGGAACCATTGTTTTCAAGTTGCTAGGTTGCCAAAGGACAACAGCAAAACAGGAAGTGGCGTCGCTGCCCTCATTCATTCATTCCTGCCCATTCGTTGAAAGGAACGAACTCACCGTGGGAGTTGTACCCTATGCCAAACCACGACAATGAGATGCTTCTAGAATGTGCTGGAAGTTGAGCCTGATTTGTTGGTATTTTTGTTTTTGCTTTTTTTAACAGTACAGCTAGTCCTTGACTTACGGCTACAATCAAACTCAAAATTTATGCTGCTGGGTGAAAGGTTTCTTAAGTGAGTCTTAAGAAAATGGTGCGTCTCCAAGCCAACCAAACCCCCGAATCTAACAGCAATACAATACTAAAAAAAAACAAAAGACACAATAAATTAAAAATAAATAGTGGCAGTGCCACAATTTCCCGCTCATTCCATCAGGATGGGCCAAGATAATAAATAATGAATAAATTAAGGAAGAAACACAGAACGACGCTGAACGGACAGAGCAAAGAGAAGGATTGTTAGCTGGCCCCTTAAGTGGGGGTCCTCTTTTTTGCTCCCCCCTAGACTCCAGTGTCTTGGCCTCTGGGAGAAGAACGTAATGGATGGATTTATTTGGCCCTCTTGCCTTATATAATACAGGTAGTCCCTTGCCCAAAATATCCGTCGCTAAGCGAGACAAGCGGTGGAGTGAGCTTTGCCCCGTTTTATGACTTTTCTTGCCACAATTATCAAATGAATCACCTCCGTTGTTAAGTCAGTCCCACGGTTGTTAAGTGAATCCAGCTTCCCCGTTGATGTTGCTTGTCAGAAGGTCACAAAAGGGGATCCCCGGGATGCTGCAACCATCGTAAATATGAACCGGTTGCCAAACACTCGAATTTGGATCACGTGACCACAAGGGAATGCCTCAACGGTCGTAAGTGTGAGAAATAGTCATAACTCGCTTTTCCCAGTGCTGTTGTAACTCCGAACGGGTCACCGGATGAGCTGCTGTAAATTGAGGACTATCTGCACACAGCTAGTCAGTGGGAGGCAGTTGGGAAGAGGACGGATGACATATCCCATAGGGCTCAGACCTTATGGGGCTTGCATGGACGGATGTGCCTCCTAGTATGAAGAGGGGATGTTGAGATGTTCCCACCTTTCCATTTCTGTAGAAGGACCAGGGACATATTCTGGGTGGGTCTTCTCCATCAACCCACTGAGCTTACACACCCCAAAATTCATCTTGTTTCGTGCTTGGCCTACAACATCCTTCAATTCCACCCTATCCAAAGCGAAGCCACAAAAAAGAAATGGAACACCAAACCGAGGGCGGTGTGTGTGTGTGTGTGTGTGTGTGTGTGTGTGTGTGTGGTGGAAACACAATCAGAGTGAGGACCAGAATTTCTACAATGGGGACCACAGGACATGGAAGAGGGAAGTCTTCCTTTCAGACAATCCCCCTACCCCAGGCCACGGTAGGCTACGTTATTCCGAGGAGTGATGGATGGAGGACCATCTGGAGAAGGTTGTCCCTTGGCGTGGGTTGGAGTAGAGGCAGGTGATTGAAATCCACAAGGGAGGGCCGCTACGAACGCCGCAAACTGTCATAGCTGCCCACCGAGGCAGAACTGCTCCTGCTGCTACTCCGTGGACGGCTTCTCCCTCCGCTACTCCGGCTTCGGCTGCTCTTGCCGTAACTGCTCCAACTCCGACTGCAGCTGCTCCTATCACTTGAGTAACTGCGGCTCCGGGCTGGAGAGTAACTGAGACAGCTGTACTCTGAGGAGTAAACGCTTGAACTGCTGGGGGACGAGGAGGAAGGACTCGGTCTGTAGTAAGGGATGGGGCGCTTCCGGGCACTGGAGAGGAAAAACCGAGAGGGGTGGGGAGAGAGAGGTGAGAATTACCTCCACTGCTTCCTTTCTATTCTTTCTCTCATCTCCTCTTCTCTTCTCTCCTCTCCTCTCCTCTCCTCTCCTCTCCTCTCCTCTCCTCTCCTCTCCTTTCCTTTCCTTTCCTTTCCTTTCCTTTCCTCTCCTTTCCTTTCCTTTCCTTTCCTTTCCTTTCCTTTCC